GACCCCTGGCAGTCTTCAAGCTGGCACTGGACAAGCACCTAAAGTCAGTTTCCGGATCAGCCGGGCTGTGGCTCGTACGTTGGTTTGCGTGCAGCCCGCAGCAACCCGCCTGGTTGATCAGGCTCTGATCCACCAGGAGGCCTGGTCTCAGACCGGGGCCCCGGGGCGTTGACCCCCGGAACTCTCTCCAGGTCCAGGTACATAATTGGTCCAGGGACTGTACCTCAACATTACTGAGGTACATAATTGGTCCTGGGACTGTACCTCAACATTACAGAGGTACAAATTGGTCCTGGGAGATGTACCTCAACATTACAGAGGGAAAATAATTGGTCCAGGGACTGTACCTCAACATTACAGAGGTACATAATTGGTCCTGGGACTGTACCTCAACATTACTGAGGTACATAATGGGTCCAGGGACTGTACCTCAACATTACTGAGGTACATAATTGGTCCAGGGACTGTACCTCAACATTACAGAGGTACATAATTGGTCCAGGGACTGTACGTCAACATTATAGAGGTACATAATTGGTCCAGGGACTGTATCTCAACATTACAGAGGTACATAATTGGTCCAGGGGCTGTAACTCAACATTACAGAGGTACACAATTGGTCCAGGGACTGTATCTCAACATTACACCCCTCAAGGAAGGTTCCTTGATGTTGGTGAGGGGCTCTTGATTTAGGGAATTGGATCTGTGCTCCAGTTCCCCGAATTAAGCCTGAATGCCTTCCACATCCCCCCCCCCCAGGCGCTGTATAATCCTCCGGGTTTAGCGCTTCCCCCTTGATTATAATAATAATAATAATCAACATTACAGAGGTACATAATTGGTCCAGGGACTGTACCTCAACATTACAGAGGTACATAATTGGTCTAGGGACTGTACCTCAACATTACAGAGGTACATAATTGGTCTAGGGACTGTACCTCAACATTACAGAGGTACATAATTGGTCTAGGGACTGTACCTCAACATTACAGAGGTACATAATTGGTCTAGGACTGTACCTCAACATTACAGAGGTATATAATTGGTCTAGGGACTGTACCTCAACATTACAGAGGTACATAATTGGTCTAGGGACTGGTCCCCAAAGTTTTGATAGCTGAACAAGGTACAAAAGTAATTAATCTTGTAAGTAAATTTACTTTCTTATGTTCATACATGGCTACAATCATGAACAAATTATACAGTAATGAACAATTCAGACTTCCACACCCGGTCACAACTGTAATGAGTTATTAGTGCAAATATTAATTGTTGGGAGACACACACACACACACACACACACACACACACACACACACACACACACACACACACACACATTGTACACTCATGGTACGTGACGAGTTGTCAGAGTGGGCGCCTGTGACAAGCGGGGTTCCACAGGGGTCAGTCCTAGGACCTGCGCTGTTCTTGGTATATGTGAACGACATAACGGAAGGGATAGACTCAGAAGTGTCCTTGTTTGCAGATGATGTGAAGTTAATGAGAAGAATCAAATCGGATGAGGATCAGGCAGGACTACAAAGAGACCTGGACAGGCTACAAGCCTGGTCCAGCAACTGGCTCCTTGAGTTTAACCCTGCCAAATGCAAAGTCATGAAGATTGGGGAAGGCAAAGAAGACCGCAAAACACAGTATAGTTTAGATGGCCAAAGACTGCAAACCTCACTCAAGGAAAAGATCTGGGGATGAGTATAACACCGAGCATATTTCCCGAGGCGCACATCAATCAGATAAAATGCTGGCAGCATACGGGCGCCTGGCAAACCTACGGATAGCGTTCCGATACCTCAGTAAGGATTCATTCAAGACTCCCGTATACCATTTACGTTATGCCCATACTGGAGTATGCAGCACCAGTTTGGGAAACCACACCTAGTCAAGCACGTCAAGAATTTAGAGAAAATGCAAAGGTTTTGCAACAAGACTAGTCCCAAGCTACGGGGATTGTCCCACGAAGAAAGGTTGAGGGAAATCGCCCCGACGACACTGGAAGACAGGAAAGTCAGGGGGAACATGATAACGACATATAAAATACTGCGCGAATAGACAAGGTGGACAAAGACGTGATGTTCCAGAGAAGGGACACAGACACAAGAGGTCACAATTGGAAGTTGAAGACTCAGATGAATCAAAGGGATGTTAGGAAGTATTTCTTCAGTCATAGAGTAGTCAGGCCGTGGAATAGCCTAGAAAGTGAAGTAGTGGAGGCGGGAACCATACATAGTTTTAAGGCGAGGTATGATAGAGCTTATGGGGCAGGGAGAGAGAGGACCTAGTAGCAATCAGCGAAGAAGCGGGGCCAGGAGCTATGAATCGACCCCTGCAACCACAAATAGGTGAGAACAAATAGGTGAGTACACACATACATGCATACATTTGGGTATCTTGATTCTGTAAATATTTCGTGACACAGTGGCTTCTTCAGTCCAATGCGGGAAAATATGGAAAAGGAAGTGTTTGAGGTAGTCAGTCCCTCAGCGTTGAGTCAATGTGTTCAGTCTATGGACTGGATATTGCACCTGTCTAATTCTTCTTGAAGATATGGGTAGTGCTAAGATATTTTTATTAATAAAAAGTTTCGCTCACCTCGAGTTTTGCAGTTCAACACATTCTCTGTCACATTAATAAAGATCTTACTGAGCGAAATGTTATTTAATAAAGTTCTCCCAGTACTGTGCATATCTTAATTGAACACAAGATTAGCTGCCTAAATACTTCATATATTATTTTTCACCTCCATATTTTCCCAGAAACTTTTACAACAGCGATGATTGTGAAGAATCTCTGGATATATGCCTTCGCTCACACCAACTTCAACATAAAATCGCAAAAATATATGAAATTCCCCAGTTTCGCGCTACCAACTCGTCCCTTTGCACTTTCAAAATGGAATATCAAAATTTTCAAGAGTTCAGCGGGTAGCTGCCATTGAGATTCATGATGCACACACAGACGGAGGTCTCTGCAGACTTGCAATGCTCTCATATTACGTATTACATTCATGGTGGGGCGCTAAACCCATAGGGGTTATCCAGCGTCTGAAGGGGGGTTGGAAGGCATTCAGACTTGATTCAAGGAATTGAAGCACAGATTTAATTCCTTAGATCAAGAGCCCCCCCCCCTTGCCAGTATCAAGGAACCCCCCTTGATGAGTCTATGCTGCTAGAGTCTCGTAAAATATATGGAAAAAGTCTAAAACCGTAGTGCAACCCGAGTTGTGGACTGGCAGCTGCCCCAAGACAGTGGAACCATACAGTGACATTCAGTTCTTAATTTGTCACGGGACATCAGCTGATGGAAATTTTAATCATATGATAACCTGCTCACTACTTCGTTATGAGTATCTTACAAACTGTGTTGTGTCCGTATTAAAGCACTTGGCTCTCTTCAGTGCTGGCGTGTGATTTACGATGAGTCGCACATCTCCTGTAGGTATACTCTAACTCCCCCATTTTTTTAGTGTAACAAAGTTATTATGGAGATGACTATGCCGTTAGGAACATCAATATTCTTTGATCATTTATGGATATGTCGTTAGGAATATCAGTATCTTTAGATCATTTACCCCTAGGAATACAAGAAGGGCGGTAGCTCGGGAAGTCTTCTGGTGCAACAGCGGTGGGAGTATCAGGCACCTTTGTAGTGACATTGTCATCTGGCATTCTAGCAATTAACGGCTGTGTGGTAGCAGCGCAGGCATTCTGTCGCGTTCTCCGTTATTTTTTTTTTTTTGTTAGGGTAATCAAGACGCAGCCGATGAAAAGCTGTACATACCATAACGTCCAGTGATGTCCCTGTTGGCAGGTGAGGGTTGTCACTGTGCAGCTTTTGTTTTTGTTTTTTGTTTTTTTTTTACTACATCTTTGATATTGGTGTGTGGCAGAGGGGCTCTTATGTTTGTCTTCCAGTTTTTTTTTTTTAACTTACGTTTAGTCTATCGTTGGCTAATTGGTATGGGAACCAGTTAGTTTAATGTTTATTATGCACCTCATACCTATCCCGTGGGCGGTAGTCAAAAGATTACAGAGGTACGTAATGGGTCCAGGGACTGGACTCCAAAGTTTTGATAGCTGAACTAGATATAAAGGTAATGAACTCACAAGTTACAAAGGTAATGAATCCTGTAAGAATGGTTACTTACGTTTATACATGAGTACAATCATGAACAAATTAGAGTAATGAGCAATTCACACTTCCACACCTGGTCACAACTGTAATGAGTTATTGGTGCAAATATTGACACACGTACATGCTCATCTTTAGTGGCTATTTTGGCAGCCTCGTTTTGGTATCCAAGTGATACAGTCCAGGACTCTAGTTGATAGGCTATAAGCCAAACCAACCGTATGGAGACTCGATCACCTGTCTGCAAAATAGCAAGACAAACTTGCGGCCAGACTCTTCCCTCTGAAGTTGCAAGTTAACATCTCATCAAGGAAAGTTCCTCAATATTGGCGAGGTGCTCTTGATCAAAGGAATTGAATCTTCCCTTGAATCGAATCGGATCGCTTCCCATTCCTCAGTCGCTGCGACCTCCACGAGTTTTAATAATAATGATAATAATAGTTGAGGTGGTTTGGACATTTAGAGATGGAACAAAATAGGATGACTACGAAGATGTAGGGGTCATCCAAGGAAGGGATGAAGGGAGGGAGAGGTAAAAAGGTTTTGACTGATTGGGGCTTGAACATCCCTCAGGTTTATGTGAGCGTATTAGCAGTGGAGACTAAGTGGTTTTTATGACAACTACGCTACTGGAGTGTGAGCAAGGTAACATTTATGGAGCCAGGGGAACCCGGTTAGCTGGACTTGAGTCTTGGAGGTGGGAAGTACAGTACCTGCACTCTGAAGGAGAGGTGGGGATGGTGTCAACACGCTTCTGGCAAGACGGCGATTGCATGAGTGACTGTGACAGTGTTTCTTCCTTTTCGGGTCACCCTACCTCGGTGCTATAATAATAATAATGTTTGTGGTAGGTGGATCAGGAAGTGACGCCGTTCCTGGTTCCTCTTGTGATTATAGGAGGAAAGTACGACATTTTTAAGGACCTGGAACCTGAAGGCAAGAAGCTAATATGTCGAGCACTTAGGTAAGTTTTTTTTTAATTGAATCGTGTTATATTTTGTGAGATGTTGAATCCCGCAGATTGTTGGAGGCTCGATCCTCTGTCCGCTAACAGTGGCTTTGGTCACTTCACCAGAAATTCTCTAGGATACTCATAAGGATATGGAAATATTATTTTAGGACACTTTAATGTAATTATCCTTTTGTATATGGAATTTAAAACTATTCTGATATATACTTACACCATATGTTGTTCATGAACGTATGCACTTAAAATCAGCATGTGCACACTGCAGGTTCGTGATGCACACGTGTGTACGTGGAAAGGTACTTTCCATGTGTTATGTAACGTCTTCAAATTTTGTACATATGATGTATCTTGTGGAAATAAATTTTGAAACTGAACATGAACGCATTCACGAAATTGCATGTGTGTACATGCGCGCATGTGTAGTAGTACCACAGGTTGTACATGAACGTATTCACGTAATTAGCATGTGTACACTGCAGGTTTGTAACATACAGGAGTACTTGTACCATAGGTTCTACATGAAAATATGTACGTAATCAACATGTGTGTACACTGCAGGTTTGTGACACACACACACGGGGCATCACTACACTTCTTCTCAGCTAAGGACGCAGGTCTGGTCAAGAAGACCAAGGAACTTCTCAGCCATTACGCTTTTGGCACCACGGAGAGGTCAGACTTTCTAACATTAATAACTGGATCATGGTGATACTGATAAAGTAAACACATGTGCAACACTTGGGCACTTTTATTGTGGAAACGTTTCGCTACACAGTGGCTTCATCAGTCCAATACAAAGAATAGCAAAGATCAGAAGGAGACTGAAGTAATTAGTCCCTCAGCCTGGTTGAGGGACTAATTACTTCAGACATGTTGAACACAAGTGTTGCACATGTCTAATTTATCAACTTATCGGTTCTCTAAACCATTTATCTACATGGTGATATTGATTATTGAGTCATGGTAATATTCATTACTGAGTCATGGTAATACTGAGTAATTTATTTTAGTTATTAATCTGTGCCCCTGGTACCTGGGTGTTAGTCGTTATGGGTGGCATCCTGGGAAAGAGAACTTAAGGACTCCCAGTGGAAATAGTCCACATTTTCTTGAGTTAGCCTGAGTTACGCCCATCAATACATAAAATCTTTCTCGTGAAGCCTTGAATTAGTTTCCCTGAAATGCTTTGTAAAACAAAAGGCTTTCCTTAGAATATGCAAGATTTATGTACTTTCGTAACTAATTTATAACCAAACGAACTGTAAATTGTAACATATATTCAAAATAAATAAATGTTTTATTTCGTTATAAATGTATTGGCAGCCGGAGCCTAGCACAGGACTACAACCAGCCACTGATCATCCCAGCCGGCAGTGACAGTCTGGCTACCATTAACATGAATGATGAGCTTAACCTGGACTCCTGGAGGCACCTGTACACTACTAGGTTCCCTCAGGTAAGTGTTTAACTCACATAAATCAGTCACACTGACACACTATCCTTATAACACAACTTTCCGTTATACGACTCGTGTGTTATTTCTGTGCTGTTAGCGTTCAACTTGAAGTTAGTTTAGACTGCCCCAGGATAAATAACACAAAGGCACAGTACCGTGACTGGAACAATACACGCGGGTTATTTGTGTACCCCAGGAGAGACAACACCGGACCTGGCCAGGCTAGGTTAAATTAATTATACAAGATTAATTATACAAGACTGGAGAACACACTTGACCTTATTTTCACAAATGATTAGGACATGGTAAGGAATATAACAATATCAAAAACAACAAATTCTGATCACAATCTAATCGAAGTCCAGACTTGCATGCACAGGAGTCCTGATCGGCAAGATGTATACAGTTATGAGAGTACCTTTACCAAATTCAACTTCAACAACAAGATCATCATCTGGGATCAGGTAAACTATGCCCTAAATGAAACATGCTGGGAGGATATTTAAATTACATGGACCCTAACCAATGCCTCGAAATGATCACCCTCCTGGTAGCTGAAGTATGTTCAAGGTATATTCCTATAAGACAAAAGAAAAGAAAAAGTAAACTGGAGAGAGAGAGACTCCCTCTACAGGAGAAGACGAAGAATCATTGAGCTCCTCAAGAATGCCAGATGTCTGATACATGGAAGGAAGTGCTAACCAGGGAAGTGGAAAATATTGAACTAAAGCTAAAGGACTCATACAGGATCCAGGAGAGACAAGAGGAGCTAAAAGCGATTAATGAAATTGAAAGAAATTCGAGATATTTCTTTTCATATGCCAAAAACAAGTTAAAAACCACTTCTAGTATAGGGCCCCTGGTCAGACAAGACGGATCCTACACAGACAACAAAGAAATGAGCGAGATACAGAAATTGCAGTATGACTCAGTGTTCAGCGAGCCACTAACCAGTTTAAAGATAGACAATCCAAAAATTTTTTTCATGAATGAGCCTCAAAACCCTGCCAATGTAGGCCAGATTTATGACATAACCCTAACTCCACTAGACTTTGAGAAAGCCATCGACGACACGCCCATGCACTCAGCCCCAGGCCCAGACTCATGGAACTCTGTGTTCATTAAAAACTGCAAGAAACCCCTCTCACGGGCCCTAAGTATGCTATGGAGAAGGAGCTTAGACACAGGCGAGATTCCACAGTCACTAAAAACAACAGATATAGCCCCACTCCATAAAGGTGGCAGCAAAGCAGTAGCTAAGAACTATAGACCAGTAGCTTTAACGTCCCACATCATAAATATCTTTTAAAGAGTTCTAAGAAGCAGGATAGCAAACCACCTGGACTCCCAAAAATTGCACAACCCAGGGCAACATGGTTTCAGAGCAGGTCGCTCCTGCCTTTTCGCAATTGCATAACCACTATGATATGGTCCTAGATGCACTGGAAAACTAACAGAATGCGGATGTAGTATACACAGACTTTGCTAAAGCCTTTGACAAGTGCGACCATGGAGTAATAGCACACAAAATGCGTGCTAAAGGGATAACTGGCAAAGTAGGCAGATAGATCTTCAACTTTCTGACCAATCGCACACAAAGAGTAGTGGTAAACAGAGTTAAATCAGATGCTGCCATAGTGAAAAGCTCTGTCCCACAAGGCACAGTACTCGCACCTATCCTGTTCCTTATTCTCATATCAGACATAGAGATGTAAACCACAGAACTGTATCATCTTTTGCAGACGATACTAGGATCTGCATGAGAGAGTCATCCATTCAGGACACGGCAAAGCTCCAAGAAGATATAAACCAAGTTTTCCAATGGGCAACAGAGAACAATATGATGTTCAAGGAAGACAAATTCCAACTACTCCGTTATGGAAAACTGGAGGAAATAATAACTAGAACTGAGTATACTACAAACTCCAATCACACAATAGAGCGGAAAAGTAATGTGAAGGACCTGGGTGTGGTAATGTCCGAAGACCTCACCTTCAAGGACCACAACAATGCCACTATCACATCTGCGAGGAAACTGATAGGATGGATACTGAGAACATTCAAGACAAGAGATGCTAAGCCAATGATGATCCTTTTTAAATCACTTATTGTCTCTAGGCTGGAATACTGCTGTACATTAACATCCCCATTCAAGGCAGGTGAAATTGCAGAACTAGAGAATGTACAGAGAACCTTTACTGCATAAGTTCCATCAAACACCTTAACTACTGGGAGCGCCTGGAAGCACTTGACTTGTACTCACTAGAGCTCAGGAGAGAGATATATATCATAATCTACACATGGAAGATTCTGGAGGGACTGGTCCCTAATATGCACACAGCAATCACTCCATACGAAAGCAAAAGACTTGGCAGGCGATGCAACATACCCCAGTGAAAAGTAGGGGCGTCACTGGTACACTTAAGAGAAAACGCAATAAGTGTCCGGGGACCAAGACTGTTCAACAGCCTCCCACCAGCAATAAGGGGCATTACGGGAAGACCCCTGGTTGTCTTCAAGAGGGAGCTGGACAGATACCTAAAGACGTACGAACCACAGCCGGACTGTGGTTCGTACGTTGGATTGCGTGCGGCCAGCAGTAACAGCCTCGTTGATCAGGCCCTGATCCACCGGGAGTCCTGGTCGTGGACCAGGCCGAGGGGGCATTGGTCCCCGGAATGCCCTCCAGGTAGCCTCCAGGTAATATATGGGGTACTAAACAGATCAGACACAGAATGGGCTCAGGAACTGGGCCCAATATTTTGTCTGTTAAGCAAGTTAAGGTATACCTGGAGTATACCTGGAGAGGGTTTCGGGGATCAACGCCCTCACAGTTCGGTCTGTGACTAGGCCGCCTGGTGGATCAGGGTCTGATCAACCAGGCTGTTACTGCTGGCCGCACGCAGACCGACGTACGAACGGAAGTAATGAACTATTTACTAGCTTAGTATTATATTTACTGATTAGAGCTAAGCCTGTAAGATTGTAAAGCTTGAGGGAATAGGAGGCACTCAGGTTCGATCCGAGGAACAGAAAAGGTCCAGTTCCTTTGATTAAGATCCCGTCACCAGCATGAGGAAACCTCCGTCTAGGGGTAATAATGGCAGCTATGATGATGCTTCTACGTCAGGTTAGAAGACGCAGCTGTTCACTGTTGCTGCACAAGAAGTCTTAACATAATATACTCTAGTTTTAAAGTAGCATTTAAGTCTCATGATTAATTGACCATAATGCGTCTGGAAAATCTTCCAGCTCCTGCACCCAACATCTTGCTCCTGGGGGATTTCAACTTAAGGCACCTAAAATGGAGGAATATAGCAAATAATATTGTTGCAGTAATAACACCAGGAGGCAGCTCTGATGAAAACTCACACTCACACGAGCTTTTAAATCTCTGCACAAAATTCAATTTAAACCAGCAAATAATAGAGCCTACTAGACTGGAGAATACACTAGATCTCATCTTCACTAACAATGATGATCTGATAAGAAATGTCACCATATCAAAAACAATATACTCAGATCACAACATAAATGAGGTTCAGACATGTTGCGTGGAGCCCCAGACCGACAAAATGAGACTAGTCACGAGGAGCATTCACCAAATTCAACTTCAATAACAAAAAACATAAGTGGGACAAGTAAAACCAAGTCCTAACCGATATAAGTTGGGAAGATATACTAAGCAACACGACCCAAACTTATGCCTAGAACAGATTAACTCGGTGGCACTCGATGTATGCACAAGGCTTATTCCTCTAAGAAAAAGGAGGAGTAGATGTAAAATAGAAAGAGACAGGCGCTCCCTTTACAGGCGACGGAAAAGAATAACAGCGGCTAAAAAGAGGTCAATATATCTGAAATGCGCAGGGAGACACTGGTCAGAGAAATAGCAAGCATCGAACTTAAGCTAAAAGAATCCTTTAGGAGTCAGGAATAGCGGGAAGAACTAAAAGCCATAAATGAAATCGAAAGAAACCCAAAGTATTTCTTCTCCTATGCCAAATCAAAATCGAGAACAACGTCCAGTATTGGGCCCCTACTTAAACAAGATGGGTCCTACACAGATGACAGCAAGGAAATGAGTGAGCTACTCAAGTCCCAATATGACTCAGTTTTTAGCAAGCCGCTAACCAGACTGAGAGTCGAAGATCAAAATGAATTTTTTATGAGAGAGCCACAAAATTTGATTAACACAAGCCTATCCGATGTTATCCTGACGCCAAATGACTTCGAACAGGCGATAAATGACATGCCCATGCACTCTGCCCCAGGGCCAGACTCATGGAACTCTGTGTTCATCAAGAACTGCAAGAAGCCCCTATCACGAGCCTTTTCCATCCTATGGAGAGGGAGCATGGACACGGGGGTCGTCCCTCAGTTACTAAAAACAACAGACATAGCCCCACTCCACAAAGGGGCAGTAAAGCAACAGCAAAGAACTACAGACCAATAGCACTAACATCCCATATCATAAAAATCTTTGAAAGGGTCCTAAGAAGCAAGATCACCACCCATCTAGAAAACCCATCAGTTACACAACCCAGGGCAACATGGGTTTAGAACAGGTCGCTCCTGTCTGTCTCAACTACTGGATCACTACGACAAGGTCCTAAATGCACTAGAAGACAAAAGAATGCAGATGTAATATATACAGACTTTGCAAAAGCCTTCGACAAGTGTGACCATGGCGTAATAGCGCACAAAATGCGCGCTAAAGGAATAACAGAAAAGTCGGTCGATGGATCCATAATTTCCTCACTAACAGAACACAGAGAGTAGTCGTCAACAGAGTAAAGTCCGAGGCAGCTACGGTGAAAAGCTCTGTTCCACAAGGCACAGTACTAGCTCCCATCTGTGTTCCTCATCCTCATATCCGACATAGACAAGGATGTCAGCCACAGCACCGTGTCTTCCTTTGCAGATGACACCCGAATCTGCATGACAGTGTCTTCCATTGCAGACACTGCAAGGCTCCAGGCGGACATCAACCAAATCTTTCAGTGGGCTGCAGAAAACAATATGAAGTTCAACGATGAGAAATTTCAATTACTCAGATATGGTAAACATGAGGAAATTAAATCTTCATCAGAGTACAAAACAAATTCTGGCCACAAAATTAGAGCGAAACACCAACGTCAAAGACCTGGGAGTGTTTATGTCGGAGGATCTCACCTTCAAGGACCATAACATTGTATCAATCGCATCTGCTAGAAAAATGACAGGATGGATAATGAGAACCTTCAAAACTAGGGAGGCCAAGCCATGATGACACTTTTTCAGGTCACTTGTTCTATCTAGGCTGGAATATTGCTGCACTCTAACAGCACCTTTCAAGGCAGGTGAAATTGCCGACCTAGAAAATGTACAGAGAACTTTCACGGCGCGCATAACGGAGATAAAACACCTCAATTACTGGGAGCGCTTGAGGTTTCTAAACCTGTATTCCCTGGAACGCAGGAGGGAGAGATACATGATTATATACACCTGGAAAATCCTAGAGGGACTAGTACCGAACTTGCACACGAAAATCACTCACTACGAAAGCAAAAGACTTGGCAGACGATGCACCATCCCCCCAGTGAAAAGCAGGGGTGTCACTAGCACGTTAAGAGACCATACAATAAGTGTCAGGGGCCCGAGACTGTTCAACTGCCTCCCAGCACACATAAGGGGGATTACCAACAGACCCCTGGCAGTCTTCAAGCTGGCACTGGACAAGCACCTAAAGTCAGTTCCTGATCAGCCGGGCTGTGGCTCGTACGTTGGTTTGCGTGCAGCCAGCAGCAACAGCCTGGTTGATCAGGCGCTGATCCACCAGGAGGCCTGGTCACAGACCGGGCCGCGGGGGCGTTGACCCCCGAAACTCTCTCCAGGTAAACTCCAGGCATAATTAGTGGCTTCCTTTCGTACCTACTACTGCACTAATTCACATATATCTGCTGCATTCCTTGTGACTCAGAATTAAAAGGAATGCAGCAGATATATGTGAATTAGTTCAGTAGTAGGTACGATCACTAAAGCTCTTGCTTCACACGGCGAGGGTCTGCGTTCGATTCCCAGGGAGGGTAGAAACACTGGGCGTGTTTCTTTACACCTGTTGTCCCTATTCACCCATCAGTAAAATGGGTACCTGGGCGTTAGTCGACTGGTGTGAGTCGCATCCTGGGGCAAGAACCTAATTGGTGGGGAATGTTCAGCATAACAAGGGGCTTTCTATATATATATTGGTGTCAGCTATGGTCTGTGTACCTTGTACATGTAGTACTGTAAATATATTATTACTAATTATGCGACGCATTTCGTGCAATTAATCATGAGGCTTACATGCTACTTAAAAACTAGAGTATATTAAGACTCTTGTGTAGTAACTAACAGCTGCCTATTATTATTATTGGCAGGAAAATGAGGAGCGGTCTTCAGTATTACCGGAGGATCCTAGCAGAGATCCTACCTATGCTGAACCTGACGTAGATAACCTCAGGACCCAGAAAGACGAGGTCAGTCTTATTTTACTGTTTATTTTGCTAATAAACCACATTAATTAACATAAAACAATGTATCGACTAGGGTAGTTGGTGACCTGTAATGGTACTGGTCAAAGAGAAGATCGTTTTTACAAGAACAAGAATGGATAGTTCTATAACCAAAATTTTGTCCGTTTTTGGACTTTTTTTTCGTGTATTTAATATAATGATATATTATGTGTACGTATATATTTAATATATATATGTTTTTTTTAAACACCGGCCGTCTCCCGCCGAGTTAGGGTGACCTGAAAAAGAAGGAACACCAGCCTAGGATTGGTATGTTCACACAGTTAAAAATTCAGTGACAACTTTACTGGAAGACTGAGAGAGACAACAGCGCATGGTAGAAATTGTTCACCACAAAATCTTCCCACTAGGTATTGTTTCACCACTTGTCATCCTGAATGTGTTGTGTCTCGGTAATCACTGGTGTTGCAATACCAACACTTCACTAGTCACCAATGTTGCAAGTGTATGCAACTCCATTGTCACAGTAACACTGAAACATATCACTTCACTAGTCAACTGTGAGTTAGTGTTATGTAATACATTATGGTCACAGCACCCCGGATACTGCTACACCTTCCCCTGACAGTCTCAATACTGTAGTGGTAAAAAGTCCACGTTATATATTACTGATATTATACCACTAAATGTCGCAATGCATCACTGTTGGAATTAAGTCACTGAATTTTTTGGGGGGTTATCCTAAGTAATTTACACATGTGAATGTGTATGACAGTTGTACTTAAGTGGACCTTTACCTAAATAAACTTATGATCGGGGGGAAGGGGACTAGTATTCCACCGGCTACTAGTGTTGTGAGCATCATGAACACTTTCTGACCCAGCCAGGACGTCCACTGGCCGATAACTTAAGTGATGACGATGAATGATAACCTTATATATATCTGGAGAGAGTTCCGGGGGTCAACGCCCCCGCGGCCCGGTCTGTGACCAGGCCTCCTGGTCCAGTAACTTGTGGACAATGTCCACTCTTCTCACCTAGAAAGTGCAGGTAGCTTGGTGGCTAAAGTTCCCGCTTCACGCACGGAGGGCCCGGGTTCGATTCCCGGCTGGTGGAAACATTTCGACACGTTTCCTTACACTTGTTGTCCTGTTCCCCTAGCAGCAAATAGGTACGTGGGTGTTAGTTGACTGGTGTGGGTGGCATCCTGGGGGACAAGATTGAGGACCACAATGGAAATAAGTTAGACAGTCCTCGATGACGCACTGACTTCCTTGGGTTATCCTGGGTGGCTAACCCTCCGAGGTTAAAAATCCAAAGAAAATCTTATCTTAGGACCCACGTGTCCTTACTCTAAAGTGCTGGTCACTACGTAAGTGTCCTGTTGTCTGCTGCTAACTTCTCCTTGCAGTACAAAAATAATGTAATTTACATGTAACAAAACAAAGGAACAAAAGAAAGCCACTAGAATGCAATACATTTCGGACTGGTTAATTGGATTTAAAGCTTATAAACCATACGACCTTTATTTATGCATAACTGGTCTAGGAATGGATTGGGTCAGAAAAGGCAACACATGTATTAATATGTTGAGTACACTCCTCATTACAAACAGGCCTAGTGAAGAAATGGGTATGTAGTGTTATAGTGGGATATGTGCAGGTGTGTAGAGTCAGTAGGTTAGGTTGTGTGTATTACGTAGTTTCCCTTGTGCAAAATTTGGGTATCGTTATGTGGAAACGTTTCACCAGCCAGTGGCTTTATCAGTCAGTTACAGAAAAAGAACGGTGGAAGATGATGAGTTTGAGGTAATCAGTCCTCAAGCCTGGAGACGTGTTCAGTCCATCAGTCTTGATAAATGTACAGTGTATGTGAGAAGGAGCTTATGTACTGTAGACAGGTGAGCTGAAGCAGTTGGAAGCGGCGTCAAAGGTGGAAAAAATCCACTAGTAGAAATAGGTTATCCCTAGGTTAGGTAAGCATTGAGAAATTCTCTGTATTAGATCCCAAGATGTTGTTGTGTCTGTCAAGTACAGCAGACTATCGATAACACGATAGTTACATTCCACCGGCCTGTAATAATCAAAATCGTGTAAACAGAACTGAAGAACATGGGAAAAATAGGCTGTTGGTTAGTATGGTGTGGCCGTGGGAGAGTTGTGTGGGTGGAGGTTGTTAGTTGGAATGGTGTGGGTGAAAGTGTGGCCGTGGGGGAAATACAGAGGCGGGTGGTATAGATGGGGCTTGTGGATGGTATGGGTTAGGTTGTTGGGTGTACAGCGAGGGGGTGTGGCCACCGGGGGGAGGGGGAGGTTGAATGAGCAATTGACCGCAGGCCAGTTGGTGTGGGCTGAGGTATGGCACATTAGTACTGGACTTTGTAAATGGTCCAAGTTGGACCGAAACGTCGTCGTAAGCTCCTCTCTTCTATGTGCGGGTTATTTGTGTATGACCGAAGCGTTGAGCCTCACTTCCACTTAGCCTGCTAAACACTAACCTTCACCCCCCATGCCTAACGCCATCCCATGTTTTTCACACTCTTACCCATGTGTTTTAACCCTCACTCACCTTTACCCATCCCGTCATACACATTCCCTCATTATTATAATTATAGGTCAGCGCTAAACTCACAAGGGTCATACAGCGTTGCAGGGTAGTGTTTGCTAAAGGGTAGAGAGTTAACAAGAGGTAGAGTTAGTAAGGGCGGTGTGAGGTGCTAAAGGAAGTATAATCAAAGTGTGTAATAAATCTGTTGCTGTCAGAGTCAGAGAGGGAGTTAAGTTTAATATGTTTATTATGCACCCCATACCCATCCTGTGGGCGGTAGTCAAAAGATTACAGAGGTACATAATGGGTCCAGGGACTGGGCCTCAAAGTTTTGATAGCTGAGCAAGTTACAGAGGTAATGAATTCACAATTTACAAAGGTAATGAACTCACAATTTACAAAGGTAATGAACTCCAGGTAGGTCTAGTCACAATCATGACAAGTTACAAAGGTATTTACAGATTACAGAGGTACGTAATGGGTCCAGGGACTGGGCCCCAAAGTTTTGATAGCTGAACTAGGTACAAGGTAATGAACTCACAAGTTACAAAGGTAATGAATACTGTAAGAATGGTTACTTACGTTTATACATGGCTGCAATCATGAACAAATTTTAGAGTAATGAGCAATTCACACTTCCACACCCGGTCACAACTGTAGTGAGTTATTGGTGCAAATATTGATTGCTGAGTCTCTCTCTCTCTCACACACACACACACACACATACAAATTCATACACACATACACATAAACACACACACACACACACACAAACTCATACACACACATGCGCAAAACACTCATACACACACACACTCATACACACCACACACTCACACACACTCACACACACACCCCACACCACACACACACACACACACACACACACACACACCCACACACACACACACACTCAACACACAAACACACACAGAGGTTAAGGGAAATCAACCTGACGACACTGGAGGACAGGAGAGATAGGGGGGATGAGTAACGACTTACAAAATCTGGAAGAGGAATTGACAAGGGGGACAAAGACAGGACTCTGCCAGAACTGGACACAGTAACAAGGGGGACACAGTTGGAATTGAGACACAGATGAATCATAAGGGATTTAGGAAGATCACTTGTTAGTTACAGCCCGAGTGTCAGGAAGTGGAATAGTTGGGAAGCGATGTAGTGGAGTTCAGGATCCATATACCATAATTATTTACAGGTACAAATATAAAGCTCAATGTTACAGAGGGAGTGACCTAGATAGCGGGCGTTCTAGTTGAGAATAGACTGGCGTGCGTAGAAAAAAGGTAGCCATGGTTTGAACAACGAGCTATACCGGCAAATCTACTGCAAACCCTCAACTAGGTGAGTAACAACTAGGGAAGGAGTACTACACACCAACGCCCACCACTTCTACCAAGTGCTGGATCACCTAGTCACCATCGCAACGCCAGAGAGCAAGCCGCTGAAGCTCTATGAGCTAGATACCTCAAGGATGGGGATGTTGCCAGTATGAACATCCCCCTTAGGTGCAATTGAGAGAGGGAGCAGAGGCCCGACTTTATGGTCTTAGTGTAGACACCCCTGCTCAGAACAACAATGCCAATCTTGTCAATAATTTATCGAAAAGGGATATTGCCTGAGGTATCAGGGTAAAGCAATATTAGTCCCAATCTTTAAAAAAGGAGACAGACTATCAGGAATTAGAACACAGACCCCAGATTGAGTCTTATTGACCTAGTATAAGTCATGCTACATCAGTCAGCAATTATCCCTAGAAGGTGGTAGTGGCAAAATCCAGCCAGAAGACATGACCTAACAGTCACACAGGCAGCCATACATGAGTTTCAGGAACGGGAAATCTGTTGTCCAACAAAACCCCACTGATGTGTTTCGCTATGGCCAAATGGTTTTTACCAGACTTATTTCAAATCAGTAAGAGTAGGTGAGGTCTATTGCATTTTCTGGACACTAAAAGGTGAGTTTGCCACAGTTCCACACAGAGATGTGCAAAATTCGGAGGACCAAGCAGGATAACAGGGAAGGTCACTATCAATGGATCAGGGAATACTTGCAGGAAACAGCAGCGAGTCATGTACGTGGCGAGGTTTCAGAGTGGCACCGTGACCAGCGGGGTCCCGCAGGGTCAGTCCTAGGACAGTGCTGTTTCTGGTCATTGTGAAGACATGACGGAAGAATTTGACTCTGAGTGTCCCTGTTTCAGATGACCAGTGAAGTTGTAAAGAATTCACTTCAATCGAAGACCAGGCAGAACTACAAGGGATCTGGACAGGCTGCAGACCTGGCCAGCAATTGCTCCGGAGTTACAATCCCACCAAGTGCAAAGTCATGAAGATTGGGGAAGGGCAAAGAAGGCCGCAGACGGAGTACAGTCAGGGGTCAGAAACAAACCTCACCAAGGAAAAAGATCTTGGGGTGAGTATAACACCAGCTCATCT